AAGACCGGTGCTTGAGCACGGCTCACCCACCTATTGCCCGATAATAATTGGTAAGGTGAAGAGACTGGAACAGGTTCAGCATGTGGCTAACCGGCTCATCCCCAGTTTACGGGGTGTCATACGAGGATCGATGTAGCAGACTAGAGCTTTATACCCTGTCATATCGTTGGCTTCGAGTTGATCTCATTATGACACACCGGATGCTGCACCTGGGTCAGTTCCCTATGTCGAAGCCGATGCTGCACGTTCGCGCACCAAGCAGCACACGCGGACACCGGATTTAAAGCACATCGTACACCCTCTACAATTCCAGCTGATAAGTGAGCACTTCGTTGAAGCCAAGAGACAGAGCCATGCGTGCACGCAATACCACATGATCAGAGTCCAGAAAAGTAGATAAACAAAAGTGGGCTGACGTGTGCTGTTTGGAGTTAATAGTAATATGGTCAGGTTGAGCTCAGCACATCGCTTGGTCCGGTGAGTGACAGGTGAGGTGAGATTAACAACTGTACGTGTGAAATCAGTGCTACCAAAAGGAAGACAGTAGTCAGTATATGGTTGATGAAACAAATCATTGCCACTCTGCTAAGCATCGAATGTGGATCCCGGGTGTTGTTCGGAGTACGACAAGTGGCTCGCTTAATATTCACGTCAACATCAAGGAAAGAATATCTGGATTTTTGCCACACGGATCAATGAGAGTTGTCGACATAATTCGGTTTTTATTACCTTTGAGCTACAGTCGATTAGGAAGAGGATGATAAAAAGTCAACGCGTCTTCAGATGATGCCTTTCATCATACATTGGTGGGCGGGGCCTTCAAATTCGGCCGTTGCTGTTCTCGTTGGATTATTTTACACCACAGACTGCGGATTCAATATTTTATTTTTAACTTTGAAGTAATTCGTTTTTCCTGATCAGGTCTCAAGGTCAATGTTGTCCTACTCCGCCAACCATTTGAAAACGTTACGTGAGATTGCCTTAAATCCGTGCATTAGCGAATACGGACACTTTCAAACGTAGTACGAATAAATGTCCTGGAAAAAGGCGCAAGCATCGTGCTCGCTGGCAAACTGGCCACAGTCGTTGTTCTGTCGACAAAGCGCAAGCCCCACTGATACTTGCCAGTACTGTTCGTTAGCTCCTTGGTAAAATCAGTGAACTCAGTGCCAGTATGCAGCGAAATGAGTATGTTAATACAGGAATTATTCTGTTACAAGAAAGCTGGTTGTATGCTGATGTGGAAAATGGGGTACTTCAACTCGATGGTTATTTTGCTATCAGGTAAGCCCCAGTTCCGTGGGGGTGGCGTTCTAACAAGTTAATCAACGTGGGTGCAATGCAGCAAGCATAATATTTACCTACTCAACGACTTCTATAAGCTGCCATTTAGTTGAGTGCAAACCGAAGCTTTTAAATGGCTTTTGATCAGTCATCGTTGGAAACGTATACATTGCTCCTGACACATCCGCATCCGAGTTAAAGCTTTCTGAAGACCAACTTTCTTCAACGCTACTGCTTATATTAGATTGTTCTATTTGTATTGTTGCTGGCGACTTCAATAGAAAGAATAAAACATTTTTGAAAACACTTGGCTTGGTAGACCTAGTGACTGTTTCAACCAGACAAGATGCTCAGTTGGACGCTGTGTTCACAAATAAAAGACAGTTGTTTGCCATACAAAATCGGGCTCCTCTGAGCAGCTCAGATGATTGTGTTTTAAAACTGTGTACAGTCATCTACAGCAGGTCTCATTTTTTAACCCTGACCAGACGGCAAAATTGCTCCTTGGAAAATACTACGAGGCTCCAGAGGATGTTTTCTTTAACTGATTTTTCGGTCTTCCACGAAGTGGACCTGTCGCTCGAATGCGACCATTTTACGGACTACATTAAATATTGCTTTGACATGTGTTGGACTGTTGAAACGATCTACCTAAGAGCAGATAGATTTTCCTCACCACTACTAAAGCGACTTCAAGAGATGAAAGAATGGGCATACAAGTGCAAGAATGCTACTCATGTCAAAAGCCTAACCACGGTAATTAAATCCGAGATAAAAAGACTAAACCAATTACATATCGAAGCAGTTTTAGGCAACTATAACTGTTAAGGCAGAGAGAAGACAGAGATTGCGATATGTTAACATTTCAATCGTTCTCTCCAATTGCAAACACAATACAAGCGGGATTCATAGACAGTATATACAGGGGAAAAATTTTGCACACCAATCAAAATGTCAAAATCAAGACTATAGTAACCTAAATGATTTTCTCAATAGTTCCTGTGCACACAACACAGAATGACAAGCCCTAATTAGCAAAGCCTCACTAATTGCCAAAAGTATCTAATTGTTGTTACGTAATAACACCTTGAACGCAGTCTCCGGGTTCACCTGGTGTCGAGTTGCCAAGATATGCCTAGTGATAGACGATGCTGGGCTCCGATTGATTCTCAGATTTGTCCCATGTTGTTGCGTAATCACTTGTCACAACCACTTTGGCAAATGTTCAGCTACCCTCTGAGCTAACTGACGGTTTGTTCTGCATATGTAAATGTCACCACAACCGCAGGTGAACTGATGAACAACGTGAGAGGCTGAATTACCCGACGAGTTGCTCTGACGGTTATAGAGAACAAGTGCTCGCGTGGTATGCCTGAGTCGCAACTGGGCTGTCGTATAGGTTCGCGTTAGGGCGGACCGGAGCTTGCATCCGATATCATTTGACACATGGTCCCCTTTGAACTAACTATAACTGTCACGATCTATGGGGGCTTCTGAGGCAACTCTGTAGTAAGAGCGTTTGAAGCCGGAGAGGTGAAGAGGATGTGGATAAACTGAATTCAGAGTTTAGTTTCGCCTCATTGAGCTTATCTTTGCCCTTCCTCATTAGCTTAAGTCCAGCCACGCCCATCAATCAAAGCAACGTCCACAATGAACTCAAAAGATTAAAGGCAACAAAAGCTTGTGGTCCTGATGCTCTCTCACCATTAGCTTTGAAGGGGTGTGCTGATTCTCGCACACTGCCTCTAACAGATCTCTTTAACAAGTGTTTCACTACGTATGTGATCCCGGACATTTGGAGAGCGGCCAGTATTACTCCAGTACCAAAAACTGGATCTCAAAAGTATCGCCCAATTGCATGTACATCTGTGCTCCTAAAAGTTTTCGAAAGATTGTTAATTCCGCGGAATTTTTCAGCTGTCCCTGAAGACGATATCTAACAGTTCGTGTATAGACCCCAGCGCTCCACATTGGATGCAGTGGCATATGTTGTTTATTCTATAGTCCCTGCATTAGGTCAAAGATGTAAATCCGTACGGCTTCTTATTCTGGATTATTCGAATGCCTTTGGAAGTCTGGACAGATCAACGTTGCTAAACCTGCTATCCGAAAATGGAGTTCACCCTGGTGTGTGTAATCTGTTACGTGACTATTTTACAGATCGTGCTCACTTCACCAAGTTAGACTGTAAGAAATGCTGTCCTCCGTGCTGACTGTGGTGTTCTACAGGGATCGATCCTATCACCTTCTATATTTTCCGCGTATGTTGAATATCTCCCTATACAAACCACATCTATAGAGTGTAAATATGCTGATGATGTGGTTCTGGGATGTATGTCCCCCATTAACCATGATTCCTCATCACTTCAACGTGGGTTGGAAGATCTGGTGGATTGGTCTTCATCCAGATCTCATGCTTAATGTTTCTAAATGCAGGGATATAATATTTTCTTTTCTACGTGGCGATAATTCGTAGTCCCTCATAACCTTCTTCCCCACACTTACTTTGAATGAAAATCCCATACCCAGCTCCTTCACAATCAAGTATCTCGGCGTTTTCTTGTCCCAGAACCTTTCTTGGTCCACGCACGTCTGTAAACCTTTTCAAAAAGTCAGAAAAAACTCTCTTATGTCCTCAGACTTAAGGTGCTTTCAGTACCTCGTACTTTAATATTCAGGTTTGTAACCTTTTCTATTATTCCCAACTGGCTATACTGCTTTCGTGTCACTTTCCCTGGACTGCTTCCGAAAGACTGCATCTTATTGGTGCGATCTATAAAGCCCATTTCTAGATGCAGCAGCTTGTCTAGAGATTCTTTATTTGAGTTAAGCATTTCTAGACATCTTGATGCCTGCAATAGTTTTTCTTCTAAAACACGCAAGGATCGATTTCATTCACTTCACAATGATCTTTCCAAAACGCTCTCTTTCTCTTCTACGTGTTAGAAATTTAGAATTTTATTCTCCCGCACGTCATCATATCGTAATACTGTTTGCCTTATCTCTCACGATTGCTTGTGAACCCAGCGAAAGCCACAAACATGTGCGAGCGCATATTGGAGTAACAGTTCTGCATTTTCCCACTTTTCTACCCAAACATGTATATTAATATTATCATCGAGGTGTCCGCAGTGATGGTGTAAATGCTGAAAATGAACCCATTAGGGTACATAAAGCCGGACCGTATACATATGGATTATTTCTAGAAGAATGCTTTCCGTCATTTTTGCTGAGGGTAATGCCCACATCATAAACGTCTCAAATCAGTAATGCTTTATTGTTGTAAGTGAGAGGAGTCTGAAGCAGTTAATTAAAAACTAATAATAGCGATACTCCAAATATTGAAAAAGCAGCAATTCCTGCTAAAACATCGGACAAGTATTGCGGACGTTGAAGGAACCGATGTAAAATGAGTCCATTGTGTAGGATCAGGTAGGTCAAGAGGTCAGTAGCATCCATATGCTGATAACCTTGAGAAGTGAGGAAAGAACACTGACTACGGGAGTTGCTTGCAAAAGGCCCAAGCCGAATGCCTATTCTGAGTAGGTGCAACAAGGGCTAGGGCAAAGATGATGAAAATGTGTAGAATGGAAGCATCCGTAGTCAATTACATGGGCGATATTAAACAATGCAGTGGAAAAAAGGCCCCAGCGCAGACAGGAGATTCAAAAAGATGCTAGACGACTGTACGCAGAAATAAATAGGCTAATTCTCACTTGTAATATCTTGTTTACATCTTCGGTAATTTTACGTGAAGTTTCCATCTCACACAGTCGATGGCGAAGACTGGTCACTTCACTGCACATGGCTGGGGGAGGTCAAAATCAAAATCGGTCATTATTAGCGCACACATTCACTGATGACGACAGTTACAGGTGGCTACCCTAAAGACCCAAAGAACAACGACTTAAATATAGAGAACGGACGATGAAAAAGGAAGAGTGGCTGGGTGTGTAGCCTTGGCTGTGAGTTAATTTGTTCTAGTGGAATGAAAAGTTCCCGCACAGCAACAATCGATGGGTTTTGTGATCGTGCGGAAAAACGGCTGCGCAGCTTTTGAGGGTCGCTTAGAGTGAGAGGTAACAGTTGAAGTTGAACAAAAGTCAAGGTGACGAAGGCCCTTAGTGATTGTGGGGTTCCAAACAGACACGAATAAATCGCATAGATGATCTTTTGAAAACTAGGGATCAACAGTAGCAGGTTGACAAAAGATACTGATAAGTAGTGGACGTGTGGATGAAAAGAGTTATCTAAAGTTTAAAAAGTCGTTGTAACACGAATATGAGAAAACTGTGTAAACACTCACCTGATGAAGCAAGTCTTTGGCAATGTTGTTGTGTCTCTTCTAATTGTTTGTTAGTTCGGGCTATGGTTTCATTAAAGTCACAACGTGCCTTATGAGATTCGGCCTTGAAAGTTTCCAGCTGTCGTTCTAAGTCGACCAGTTGCTTCTCCTGTGGAAAGGGATAAAGTAAGGGATGGTAGAACAAGTTAAAGAGATTAAGAACTGAGTGTGCAAGAAAGTGTAGTTAAAACGATTACATAACACCGGAGATGGATGACAACACCGTCAAGAGAAAAACAGAAATGATAGGAGGATTTTTAAAATTCAACATGTAAGACACGGGAAGTCATGCGAATGAAATCAAGAAGTCAGGAATCCATTGGACAACATGCTAACGGAGTTGATGGAGCTGAAGATCAGGTGATGAGAAGGCGCCAGAGAAAGGTTACCGGGAGCAAAATAAAGCCCACCAGGAAGTGGGATCTGGATAGGTTTTACGCTGAGATAAGGTTCCCAGTGTAAGGCGCAGCTATCAGAATGCAAAAATTCGAGCAAATTATGAAACAAAGATGATGCTAGTAGGGCTAGTACAGTAGGTGTGCAATAGGCCATAAAACAGAAGTCAGTAATAGTAGCTCGATAAAAAAATGGGTGGCGTGGGGGGTCGTACGAGTTGAGAAGGCAGAAAGAAAGCATCAGCTGTACGTCGGTACGCAGTACCGACGCTTCGCCGCCGCACAACCACCACTGTTCGCACGTGGGCTAAGGATAAAGTGAGAGTCATCTTGCCCATACGTAGGCTCAAACCGGCGCTGTCAGATTACAAGACAAGCTTGTTATCTTTAGGCCACGGGCCGGACAAGTTGAGAAACGTACGTGTTTCGCTGCAAACAACAGAAAACAGTGAAATTCGTCCTTAGAAAAAAGCAATACAACTGCAGGATGTGGGAGCGATAGCATGGTTCATAACAATGAGACAATGTATAGTAAGAGGCTGATAAAGAGAACACTCAACTAAGACCGGTATGGGAGAAAACACTGGGCAGAACAGTAGCCGAAGATGAAAAAATCATATCATGCAGGTCATTGAAGGTGCTGTAGTCCTATGGTAAGTATGTAGTGTTCGTTTGTACCTTTTCACTGAGGCGTCGATTAGCCTGCTGTAGGTCCGTCAGTAGCTCTTCATTCACCAGAGTGAAGCGTCGTTCCAATGCTGCAGTGAGTCTGTCTTCACGTTCCTCCACACGACGAACGGCGTCTCCAGTAGACAACTCAACCAGTTGGGCAGAGAGAGATTCGTTAGTTGATTTGAGTGCACTTAATTCAGTGGTTAGCTAACAAAAAAGAGACGAAAGTGGCTTCATCATATGCGCGCCAACTAGAGGTCTTCATTCAACACCACTAATAGACGAGGAATGAATTATACTATAACTGCGCAAACGCTAAGAGTAAAATAGGTATTCACAATTCATCATCTGTAAGTTATTCACAAGACTAAAAACGCGAGGACTCTAAACAGTAGTGAAATCAAACAAACTGTCATAATACGGTAGACCTGTAGACGGGAATTGGCGAAACAATGAGACATAAGCGGAAAGACTAGTTTTCATACAATCAGCATGTTATTTACAACAGACGGGGACGAGAGCGGAATACTTCAGAGTAACGTCAGGAGCAGGATGCAATTCTGTTAAGGAAACGACGGAAAATGAAAAAGCAACAAGCGAAACGTGGCAAAGGATTGGTAGTCTGATTCAGGAGGAGCAAGTCTAGAGGTGAAACCTTCACCACGCAAGATTGAGCATATTAGACAAGAATGATGAATGTAAGAGGGGTGGTGGACTTAAGTTGAATATTGGAAAATGCTGCGTGTGGTTTCGAATCAGCCTCAACAAACAAGCACACCAAGCAGTGCAAAAACTAGGGAGTAGACATAGAATTTCGACATTATACAGAAAAGGAAAAGCGGAAAGACTGGGAGCATTTCTTCAGAAGTCATCATCATTATCATCAACAGCAGTACACCAGCCATTTGAACTAATACTTCACTGCCATACAACCATAGTGACCTATGAAATAAAGAATAATAAGAGGAGAAGAAAGGGAACTTACCGAAAAAGTCCATACCCTAAGCAAACATTCATCGTCAAGGTACCTACACCTTGTGTTAACCACATACCGACACCGGCTCCGATGGCTCGGCCACGTGTTACGCATGCCAGCCTATCGGCTCGCGCGACGTGCGTTGTTTGCTCCCCGGGGATGTGGATGGAAGAAGAGGAGGCGTGGCCAAGCGATGACTTGGTCGAGAGGAATGAACACCCTCACTTCGGAACCGGCCTCGGTTGGAGCGTCTCGGCTCCCTGGTTGGGGTCCGAAAGACGATGACTGACATGGCTAGGAGCCGACCTCAGTGGTGTTCGTGCTGTGAGTTTCTTCATCCCACCCCATCCCACATAGCCTCCCCCTTTAACCACGATCTCACTATTTAGCCCTACTTAATTTTGAATAGCATTTTCTTTCATGCACAGTAGCCGGCTGGTAACTTATCGGAACGATGCCCATCCGTTACTGGTAGCTTAGCTGGCTTGCACCAGTTACATACTTATTCTCCTTAATTCTTCTATGTATTGTGACACAGTAGCTGAGGTGTTTCCCACCTCTAGCTAACGTGTATAATGAGGAGGATGATGGCATACCATCACAACCAGTTGGCTATCGTGAAAAGATAAGGCGGCATCAGCGAGACAGCTTCCATGCGGCCTTCACTACCTCGCGTCGTAATCAGCAATTACCCCGTAGATAACTCAGCACAAAACACACGTTAAACAGGCAGTCCAACTAAGAGACGGCAGCAGACGCATCACTGGTGCCGACTGCGAGCCCTGTTCTGTAAAGTCTTCAGTCAAGCACAAGGTGTGTCACATGGGATCCAGTCTGGAAGGCCAGACGACCGACGGCACAAAATTTGGTCGTCAGTAACTTCATTCAAGCTGACAAGTCAACTTTTTCCACCTCGAGCCTTGCGCCATCCTACATCTGGCAGACAAACAAGGCCGTCATCGGTAGGCGGTGACCGGGCATACGCAGTACGTGCTTAAGACAACGCAACTTATTCAATGCTATCAGTTGTTTTAAGGAACTAGCATGGTTATCAGTGCGTATGACTCGCCCACGCACATCATCGTTGTGGACACGCTGATGACACACCGGTACTACTCCGCAGACAACGGCACAGATCTTCAGACCGAAGGGGCTAAGTCTCACCCCCATAGAGTAGGACAGCTATCACTGTGGCCAAGTATACACAGCCTTTCAAAAGGAGGGCAACTCCATTCTGTCGCCAAAGATACTGTAGATTCAAAAAGCAGTTTCGGCAATTGCAATACGTGAACTGACTCCAGTTGATATGCGCCTATCGTTGCTGATACATCATCAACATGATCATCATCATCATTATACACGTTAGCCAGAGGTGTAAAACACCTCAGCTACTGTGCCGCAATACATAAAAGAAAAGGAAAATAAATACAACAGTTGCATGCCAGCTGAGCTACCAGCAACGGATGGGCATCGTTCCGAAAAGCTACCAGCCGGCTACTAGGCAACAACAAAAATTAGGATGTAAAATTATGTTATGCTACGTAATGAGATGGTGGTTGGAGGGGGAAGCTAAAAGGGATAGGGAGGGACAAAGAAACTCAAAACATGAACGCCACGTCGGCTTTTTGCCATGTCAGCAAGTGTATCCATCCAAATGTGTTCATCGTCTTTTGGTCCCCAACCAAGGAGGCGAGACGCTCCAATTGAAGCCAGCTTCGAAGTGAGGGTGTTCATTCATCTCGACCAAGTCATCGCTTGGCCACCCCTCCTCTTCTTCCATCCACACCACCGGCGCACAAACAACGAACGTCGCGGGAGTCAGTGGACTAGCATGCACAACATGTGGCCGAGCCATTGGAGCCTGGTGCGTGAAATAACAGTGATGAGCGGTTCAGTTCCTTTTTCTGTGCCGTAAACAAGGAATCGAGCACGCTCGTTCGTCACGCGGTGTTCCCACCAGATGGGAGCCAAACTGCGAAGGCACCGATGGTCGAACGTAACTAGCCGCTTTACGTCTGCTGGTCTAAGGGGCCAGGTTTCGCAACCGTACATTACGGTCGAACGTACTGCTGCATTGTACACTCTACCCTTCAGCGCGAGAGTGATGTCGCGCCGTCGCCATAGGTGGCGAAGACTAGCAAAAGAAATTCGAGCTTTTGTTATACGGTTCGTGATCTCGTCTTCGATCCCAAGGGCGCTGATACAACTTCCCAGGTAGTTGAATTTTTGAACGACTTCTAGTTGATCCCCTCCAGAGGTCAGCGCAGGAGGCGATCCCTGCCAATCTTTGAGGAACGCTTTGCATTTCGATGGTGCAAAGCAAAGCGCGAAGCGGCTGATAGCCAGTGCTGATACAGCTGTCATGGTATGTGAATTGATAAACTACCTCGAGTTCCGGGTTATCAAGGGTTAAGGGATCATCAAGCGGCCATGCAGCAACACTTCACACTTTGAAGGCGCAAAGCGCGTAGCAAATAATAGGACCAAGAAAGAGAGGCTATTAAGAGTTGATTGCGTCGCCTCAATATGGTTAAAAAGCAGGACAATATAGTCCGTATAATCAAAAGAACTAGATTTTCTCCAGGCAGCACCTCAACGCCTGCATTGTGAGATTCCGCAAGGGAATACTCCACATTGGAGTCCACAACGAAACCGAACAAAAACAGGAAAATTGGACAACCCTGAAGAACGCCACTTGTTGTCGAAAAGCTATCCGACAGGTCACCGCAGACCAGGGTTGTCCAAACGTTTTACAGGAAGGACCATAATTAGTGAGGTAAAAAGATGTCGGGCCATATTCAGTATGACATTGATAATAACAAAAATTATACATGTACGACAAAAGTCCAATCCTGAATATATGAGTTCATGATGAGGCCGCGGGTTAGCTGAAACGTTAACGCGGGCCGCATTTGACTCGTGGACCGGACTTTGGACATCTATATCGTAGACCTTGGCGCAGCCTGTGGTGTTCGAGTACAGTTCACATAGTTCATGGGAACACCTTTCCGCGCAAGTGTTTCGAACAGAACGCATCAATCGGCTGAATCGAACACCTTCTTGAAATCGAGGACACCGCTGCAATCGGTCTGCGGCATGCGTCGCGCTGCTCTAACACCTGCCGCAGAGTAAATAAGTGGTCTGTACAGCCAAGTCCCGGTCGGAAACCTGCCTGGTCTTTCCTGATCCTAGATTCCCGTTCCGCAATTAGACAACGAACGAAAATTGAGGCCAGTAATTTTGTCACAATTGACGTTAGGCTAATACCCATGTAGTTACCATAGTCGGTGCGACTGGCCTTCGGGTATATGCGTAGTGCGTCAGCTGTAAGTTGTAACGGCGCTTCGCTGCCGTGCGACCACCACCAGTCGCACGCGAGTTGCGTATACCGCGAAAACGCCCATCCTTACGCGGATTTGAAACCGCGCCGCAAGATTAAAAACTCGTTAGGCTACGGGACGATTCTGGTATATGGCCACTATATTCCCTTCAATCCAGTTAGCTGGGACACTCTCTTATATACACACATGTATGAACAATGTCAGTGCTTTGCAGAAAACCTCAGCTCCATCCTTAAATAGTGTAAGTGAGAGGGAATCCGGGCCAGCAAATGAAAACGATTGAGGGCCACCGATGAAGCCTATAAAAAACCCGTACATGGCTCCCTTTGCATCACCTCAGTTGGAAGAAGTCCGGAAACAAGGGGAGAGCTGAAGTTACCCTGAAAGCGTTCCGTCCAACGAGCCACACGGCGCTCTTTATTGTGAATCAGGGCACCCGCGCTGTCTTTGATTGTCTCATTGATGCCTGGTTTAAAGGGATCGGTGGTGCGGATCAGCTTGCTCTAGTGCTCCTGCTTCCTCCATTTCTTGAGCCCGACTGGTCCACCAGGCTTCCTTGTCAGCACGCAGGCTCCGCTTTAGTTCGCGCCTAATGGTCCATCTGGTCACATTGTTCTCAGAGCCAGCCGGGAGGTTTCTACAGAATTCCAACAGATTCACCAAACTCTCGAATATCCAGTGACTGATGCGGTGACGATAGGTGGTACCACAAGCAGATGATCCTGTATCCTGCATGGCGACCGATATCCAATAACACTGAAGCTCAGTGTCATTAGAACAAGACAGCGAATGTTCGGTACTCAGTGCATCTTGGTAGGCTTGTTTGACAGAGGGTTGGCATAATTTCTCAATAAGCAATCAGGGGAGACATTTGATGCGCCTCCAGGTAA